CACTGCCTACAATATCAACAGTCACTTTTTTGAATTTGGAAGTGATGGGATATGATAACCAAGGCTGAGGAAGGAAGTCTCTAAGTGACCATTTGTGGCTCCTAGACACCTTCACTCTTAGCAGTCTGGCTCGAGACTCTGGAAAAATGGGCTCTGGGCCACAAGGTTTCCATGTTGCAGTTTGAGCATGGCTTCGTGCTGTTTCTAAAGATGACTAGTGTGGGGGTTCTTTTTAAAAATTGTAGGCTTGATCATTTGCTTAACACACCCCACCACATGCTCCCCCACCCTGTGTCTGGCAAGGCAGAGACCATGACACAGAGTGTGGCTTCTGTGAATAAGAGATCACTGGAAGTGTCACTAGCAGACAAGCGTCCTGTGCGGAGGAAACGAGTCATCCAACAGCTGAGCTCCATCTGCAGTCATTGGGAACCTGAGGTTTGATGTCATGTCCTGGATTTGGTCCTAACCATCGATTCCTCATTCATGTGTGGGCCTCTGTATGGTGGTGTCAAAGTGCTGTCCAAGAGCTGTGCTTCCCCAAGCCTTGCAAAGCGTAGGGGTGAGTCCCTGTGGACACCCTGAGCAACTAAACCCTGAGCAGTTAGTAGAAACTCGCTGTTGTGGTTTTTCTTCAGGATGAGTTGCTGCAGAAGAACAGCAGCTTGGCATGGCTGGAGCTTCCTCAATCTGCAGCCCTGCAAAAACCTAATTTTCATAAAATAGTAGAAATCACCATAATGGAATAAGCCAAGAAAAACTTCCCTCCTTGCATGTATGTTCAGTCCCAGCTTGTCTGGAGTTACAGCTGCACAAATGATTAAAAAAATAGCACTGAAGAACTCGAAAAATCAAGAAAGAGCAAAGTTTAGGTCCCTTCTAATGTGATTGTTTTTCCTTGCAGACCTATGCCATGAGGGTGCCTTCAAAATCCAGGCATCAGCCGCTGTTCAGCTGTAATGAGCAAAGTGTAACAGGGTCCAGTTACCTGCCCTTCCTACTGAAACCTGGCTCCTCTTATCTCCCCCGATTTTTTTTCTTGTCAGATTCTTCTTGCTGGGTCTTGCCACAACTTTGTCTGAATAGCCAGCCGTTGGTTACCCCATGAAACCTCTCATAGTGTCAGATTCAGCTCGGACATTTTTTTCCTTGCTCTGGGATTAATAAATAAACCAGGCTCTGGGAATGACTGGTGCAAGGCTGTCTTCTCTTTCCTACCATTTTCTACATCTCATGGGCTTCTTGAGTTAGCAGCGGGTCCCCCCCCCACCATGGACAAGCTTTGTTTTGGTACACAGGCCAAATATGCCAAAGCATTTATTAATTCTGAGCTGCTCGCTCTGCAGTGCTCTGTGGAGGGGGCTTCAAAAAAGAGTAGGTTTAGCCACTTATGATGAGGCCCTTGGGAAATGGAAAACCCTTCAACTCCATTGTTTGTGCTAAGCTGGATTTGTTTCTCACCCAGAAATCAAGTTGGTGTGTTTTCCTGCCCTGTTTTGGGTTCTGTAGTGGCTGCTTCAGTTTCCGCTTAAGTCCAGCAACAGCACTTCTGGACTGGGAATAAAAAAATAAATCCCAAGCTATAAAAGTTTGAGCTGGTTTGTGTTCAGTTCAGCTCTGTGCTCCCTGTTGAATTTAGTTGAATTCAAGGGCAATCCTATAGACCTGACATGACTTTCAGACACTGATGTTGTGACTCTGAACCAAGGGGCACCACCACTGGACTTTCCTCCATGACCTCTTGCCTGAACTGGACCCTGGCCTGCCTTCACCACCACACCTGAGCTCCCCTGAGATGCTCTCTTTGCTGCCTGGTTTCTCTGCTCGTGCCTTCTCTGTCCCTCCTGTGTCTCTGCTGTTCCATCAAAGACTCAGCTGGGAGGCTGAGGAGACTGTGCTGACCTGGTACCTCCTGGAGCACTAGAGGGCACGAGGAGTTAGAGGAAGAGGACGAATTACACTGATGAGAATGGGGCTCCCCAGAGCTGCTGATGGCAGTGGGAAGCAGTGTGTGTATCCTCTTTCGGGGGATGATGGCTTTTATTCCATGGCAAGGTACATTGGGGTGGAAAGCATGACACAGGGAAGCCCTGATAAACCCCCAGGTATTTATCAGCATTAGTGGATAAGGACCAACCTATAACTAAGCAAGGCCAATGGCTGCTATTCCATACCTCTCTCCTTATGCCCTCTGTGCAATTAACTCTACCTGAGACATGCTTAGTTTGGAGGATTTCAGTGGGGAAAGGAGAGGATTTTATCACCTATTTGACAGCATTGTGGATGTGGGCTGGTTTCTGGCTTGCCTCTCTGCCAGGCTGGCCAGCCCAGCTGGGTGTGCAGCAGCTGATGCCTATAAAGGGCTGTGAGGGCGGCAGAAGGAGAGGGAGGTGTGGTCCTTTCAGGGATGAGTGGTGTAGAGGGATATCTCTGGTGCTGGGCAGGTGTTTGTCTTCTGGGTCAAGCTGGCTTCAGGCATTAAAGGCACCTGCATGATGCTGGCTAGCTGGCCCACTGACTCCTGTCCTAGGGGAGGTGGCTCAGAGCCACCTTCTTCCCTGGTCTCCTTTGTGCCTGCTTCTGGGTTCAGCCCTCCCTGCCCCAGTGTGGTTCTGCATCTGCTTCACTGGGCAGAGTTAAGGTGATGTTGGAGGAGGGATCTGGCTGCTGCTGTCTGGAGCCGTGTCAGGTGCTGTGACTGTGGATACCTGCCCTGGGAGCTGAGTGCTGCTGATCTCCTTCCAGCAGTGAACAGTGGGGACCAGCACAAAACGTGACAGCTGGGCAGCCCCAGCGGGGTGATGGCTGGGGAAGATGTGCAGCCCCTCTACCAGTGCTGTGGCCTTGTTAATTTGGTTGACAGCTTCTGCTTAATGCAGTTTTCCCAGACCACCCAGATTTTGCAACACCTGGCTGCCTGCAGACCCTACAGCTAGAAGGAGAAAGCCTAGTCCTGCTTCTCCTCTGGCTTAATTCCCTTCAGCTGCTGATGTGGGCTGCTGCACCTAATTCAGCCCCTGGTGAACTAATCATAGAAACCCCGGTCCTCAGAGGCTGCAGTGAGCTGCCTGAAATACCCTCCCATCTTTTGTAAGGCCAGTTGCCCGTGGTGAAGGTGTGCTTTGGGAGCGAGGGGACTTGGATCGTACTTCTTGCGTGTTTTACTGGTTCACCTGGTGACCATCCTTTGCACTAGGCCAGGAGGGCTCCAGTACCTGTGGCATGTGTGGAAACTGGTGGATGTGTAAATCATGAGCAGCAACACTCTGCTGCAGCCTCCTCAGTGTTGCACAGTTGGCTCAGTCGTCAAACCTGATCCTTCACAGACCGAGCTGGGAATTGTGCACGAGAGCTCCAAGGTAAGGCAGTCTCCAGACCCCTCCTCACATGGAGGAGAAGGAGGAAGAGGAACAACACCACGGGGTGGCAACATCTAGGAAGGAACCACTTCCCTCCCAGCTGCTCCTGCATCTCTGATCAGAGGAAATTGGGTGTGTGGTATGAGTCTATAAGCAAGGTGTCCTGCACAGGGACACAGTTTTTAGCAGTGCTGATGGATGGTATTCCCACCCCACAGGGCTGACCTCCTCTGGCTGTGTAAGGAAAATCTACTGCCCTGCACAGCTGGTTTGCACAGGCAGGATGAGCAGCATGCAGTGCTTGGAGCTCCTGCTGCAGTCCTTGCTGGGCTGGTGTCCTGGCAAGGTGGGTCCAATGGATCTGGCTACCCAGAAACTTGGCTGGAGCTGCTCAGAGACTTTCCAGAGAGCCAAAGATGGAGGCGTCAGAGCCCAGTGCCTCCCAGCTGCAGCTCAGCCTTCCTGGGTGTAAGGGATCAGAGCTGTTTCAGGATGAGCTCTGATGGTACCAATGCTTTCCTGCCCGAGTGTAGTTATACTGGGATACACAGTCTCAGGACTGTTTCCAACTCCCACGGGATTTTGGCAGGGTGGCGAGGTACCCGTGTTAACTTGTGGCCTCTCTCCTTCTAACAAATTCCCAAATGACATGACCTTGGGTCCCAACATCACCCACGTCATCTGTGTGAGGGGAACACTTGGTGACGAGGATGCCCCATGGAGGGGCTGGGAGTGCTCCTGCCCCTGGTACCAAGGTCACCGGGAAACACAGGAGGTGAGGCCCCTAAAAACCTCCCATCCTCCACTGTCCTATAGCGGGTCCCTCACAGCTCTGCAGCCGTGTCCCCGCTCGCCAGCCGGAGACGGGAGACCCAGCCGTCCTCCGTGCCGGGGAAGCCGCTGTCCCTTGCCCAGGCTGCTCTGGCAGCGGCAGGTACGCGGCCCCAGCCCCGCAGCGGGCGGCCCCGGCCTGCGGGGCCGTGAAACTCCCCGAAAAACAGCGAATTCCCTCAGGCAGGAGAGAAGGGGAGAGCTGAGCAGGATGGGAAAGCGCCGGGACTACGGGAAGGCTGCAAGTTCCAGCTTTCCAGTCCGGGCGGGATCTTTCCTCCGCGGGTTTCCCCTCCCCGAAACCGATGCGGTTTGGCGGAGCCGGAGCGCCGCTTCCCCGGGGCCGCCTCCCCCCGCGGTACCGGCGCCCGGAGCGGACCGAGCCCTGCTCGGCGCCAGCGATCACCGGCGACGAGCCCTGCGGGGCAGCTCTCCGGTTTTGGGTTTTTTTGTTATTTTTTTCCTCCTCGAAACACTCCTTTTCCTTAAACACTCCGGAGCAGCGGGAGCGGGGCGCCCGGGGCGATGCGCGGCGCGGGGGAGCGCATCCTCACCGGAGACCGCCCCGGGCAGAGCACCAGCTTTCCCCAAAAACTCCCGGCCTGGGCTTCTCCTGGAAAGGGGAGTTAAGTCCAGCTGGTTTCATTACCGGGAGAGACGCTGTGGTGGGGCACCACCCTCTACCTTTTATTTTTTTTCTTTTCGTCTTTTTGGCTTTCAAGGAAAAGAAGGAAAAAAAAGCCAGGGAGTAAAGCGGAGCTGGGGCGGCTGGGCCGTACACCCCGAAGCCGGGAAGCGCCGCCGGCCCCTCGAGGCGTGGCAGGGCCAGTGCCTGCAGCCAGGTAGGAAAGCGGGGAGGAAACTTATTCCGAGTGGGGTGGGGTGGAGTGGGGAGGGGAGGGCAGGGCAGGGCAGGGGGTGGGGGTCGGGCAGGGAGGTATCAGCTCCAGGAAATGTGCCTTGGCAGCAGTCGGACGGGCGCTTCCCCGCAGGTTGGTGAGCTCCGCTCCGGAGCCGTCCAGGGCGTCCGCAGCCCGAGCAGCCCCGGCGGCGGGGAGGCGGGGGGGGACGGGACAGCCCAGGGAGGGAGGGCCCTCCACAAGACCCCCCAGGAGCGGACGCCTCTCCCGCCAGCTCCCCGTAGGAAGGCACCGCCCGGGCCGCCCCAGGTAAGCGGCCGAGTCCCGCCGACGGCAGCCCCGTATCCTCCCGTCCCGCGGCCGCGGGGGACACGGCTCCGGTCGCCCCGCACGTCGGGGCCGCGGGGCTGGGGGGCCGCTGCGACCCCGCCCGGGACAGCGACTGCGCAGCCGGAGCGGGGGCCCGGGGGGTTCTCCCGTTCGGAGGGAGGAGGGAGCGGGGCGCTGGGGAGCGGGCGGGCGGCCGCGAAGCCCCGACCGGGGGCGGCGGGGCCGGTGGCCGGGCTGAGCGCGGTGTGTCCGGGCTGTGTTGGCAGGCGGGCGGCGCGGCCCCTCGCCCGGCCCGTCTCCCCATCATGCTGGACGGGCTGAAGATGGAGGAGAGTTTGCAGAGCGCCCTGGATCCCGCGGTCCCTTTCTCCTCGCTGCTGGGTAAGTCGGGGCACCACACTTGCGTTCCCGGGGACCCCCCCTAGGGCGGGGCACGGCCGAGCGGGCCCGAACGATGGGCGCCGGGGTCCGGGAGGCCCGGGGACAGCTTTCACCAGCTCGTTCCTGCTCGCAGCCCTGCCCGGCGCCGCTGCCTTCTCCCGGGGAGTGCGCCCGGCGCCCGCCTTCCCCGCGCCCGGTTCGTTCCGCGATGGCATTAATTTGTGTGCCCTCCTAACCCCCAAGTAGCGAAGGCCTTTCCTTCGTATCTAACAATAAATAATTTACTTTTTCTTTTTATCTTCGTTTTAATATCGGTTTGAAACAATCGCCGTCTCTCTGAGCCGCGGCGCCGCTGCCGCCTTTCCGAGAGGAACGAAATTGGGGGCGGCGTGCCCCCCTCGGAGCTGCCCTAAGGCACAGGTCCCCCGTGGATCCCGCAGCGGCTCCTCGCACTCCCCCGTCCCCCCGCGACCCACCAGCCTGGGCGGGGGAAGCGAAAGCCGCGGGACCCCCCCCATCCGTCCCTCGCCCAGCCCGTTTCCCCGGCTGCCTTTCCTTCCACCCATACCAAACCCCAGGTCTTTCCCCACAGGCAGAGCCGCGACCCCCAAGTCGGTGTGTGAAGGGTGTCAGCGAGTGATTTCGGACCGGTTCTTGCTGCGCCTGAACGACAGCCTGTGGCACGAGCAGTGCGTCCAGTGCGCGTCCTGCAAGGAGCCCCTGCAGACCACCTGCTTCTACCGCGACAAGAAGCTCTACTGCAAGCTGGACTACGAGAAGTAAGTGTCCCTCCGCCCCTGGAGAGCCCCCCCTTTCTCTGCTCCAATTGTCCTGCTGACGGGGGTGGGGAGACTGGTGTCCCATTGCTGCTCCCCACTTCCCCTACCCTGTGCGTCCCAAGAGGTGTCAGCCCTTACTGTGCTGCACAGTGAGTTGTGGTTCTCCCCTGCAGTTTTGTGACTGGTTCTCCCCTCTTTGGAGGTGTTTTGTTGTGCTTGGGTTGTGCCTTGGGAGTTGAGGAATGTTTTGTCAGGAGCCTGTGAGACCCATGGAAACCCCAGGTCTACCCAGGGATGGAGCCAAGTGTTTTCCTATCTCCTCTGGCTTTATTTTCCTGCTGAGTGTCTAGAGGAGGAATGTTATATCCTCCCTGACCTAGTCCTGGACAAGGGTATTTTCCTAATATCCTTACAGGCAGGGAAATGCTATTGTTCCCTCCTGGGTCAGATGGGGAAACTGAGGCACTCGGCAGGAACTAAGGAAGGCCCTGCTGAATTCAGAATGTTGACTGTCACACAGGGCCTTTGCCTGCGCCCGGGTCTGTGGTGGAGAGGAAATTTGGATGGAAGCGGTTAAAGCTTCCAGCCCCGACTCTCCCCCTTTGGCAAGTGTGGGGCTGGGGGGAAAGACAGCGGGAAAATTTATTTTTCCTTTTTTTAAAGAAAACCCGTTCCAGTGGGAATGGGGAGAAGGCCGCGGAGTCTTTCCTCTCCTGCAGCTGCTTTCCTTTTTTCCTGCTCATCCCGCTCTTGCCGTCCTTTCTGGACCCCACTCCCCGGCTGGGTTTCGAAGCCGTTAAATTTTTGTTGCCTCGGGGCTGGTTGTTTCTTGAGGAGGTTGTAGGTGGGGGGCTGGATCCCTCACTATGGTGATAGCAGGGCTGCTGGAGCCCGGAGGATTTAATTCCCATGTCACTGTTACACGAGAAAACAGTCATCGGCAGTGCTCTCGTCCCTGGCCTTCAGCAAGTTGGCGAGTGTGCCGGGGGCTAGCCTGGCTCCAGGCCTTTTTAAATTTGTTTTTTTTTGGTTTTTTTTCCCTCCTTTAAGTCCTGTATTGTGGGTCTGAGTTTAATCACTATGGATACAAGGCAAATTGAAAGCAGAATTTGTGCGCGTGACCTTGTTTTCAAATGTTTACGAAAGAGCGGAAGAATTAGCTGCCGCCAGAGTGGGAAGGACAGAGCTGTGTTACGGGGTGGGTTTTTTGTAAGCAAAAATTTGTTGGAATTGGGCATGCTGCTTGTTTGTCCGTAGAAATTTGGCTACTAGGTCCCATACATTTCCAAAACAATCGAATTCTCATTTTCTGCTTGGAGCATCGAGGGGGGAATTGGGGTGAATATTACCTAGAAATGCCTTTCCAGCTTGGAGCATGTATAGATTTTAATCCTGACTGCAGCTTCCGAGCTCTGGAAGCGGCTCCAACCTGAAACCCTCCGCTGATGTCTCTTGGCCATGAAAGAAATCAGTGCCGCAGTTGGTGTCTTGCTGTGCCCATCTCACTGTTGGGATGGACAAGGATGATTGCAGGAAAAAAAAAGTCACAAATTATTCCCGGGCTCCAGTGGTAGCACCATTTGTCCTGGTTATTTCCCGGTTGTGTTTGGGTTGGTGACTTTTCCTCGAGCTGGGGAGCAGGCTCTCTGACGGGCGGTTTCCCTGAGGTGTGATGGTTTTAGCCCTGAGCTGCCGCTGACCTGTCCCCCTCTTGCGCCCGCCTGCCCCTTGCTATCATGTTATTGTCCCCTTGGATTTAATTTTATTTCATTATTTTGGCATGGGGTTGCGGGTCTGTGTCCCTTTTTCTTCCATCACCCTGTCAGTGTTCTCTGCTGTGCCGGTGCTCCAACTCCTTATCTGGTAATGGCAAGGATGTGGAGCAGAGTCCCAAAGAACTGTTTGGGCTTTGCCAAGCTTTACATACTACTCTATATTTAACAAAAAACATTCTTTCTTTGCCCAAACTGCCTGTCCTGTCTTAGACCTGAGCATTTTTCCGGGTGCAGGAGCTCTGTGCCTGCTCCGCCTGCGGTGCCGACGCCGATAATGGGGGTTTCAGTGTGAAACACACAGAGCAAGAGCTGCTGCTCTCAGACTGAGCTCATTATCTCGAGCCGATAGCTGGTTAATTACCACAAGTGACTGACACTCCTTGTGCAGCGCGGTGGTGTAAAAGCGGCCGATGGTCCCTGCGGCAGCGGTGTAGCTGGGCTCCCGAGGCCTCTCCGTGGACACCTCGCCGGGTGGGAGGGCTGGGGTGTCTGTGTGTGAAATGCTGGGGGTGTTGGGGCAGCGGTCAGGATCCAGCCTGCCAGTGTTGTGGTGTTGGTGTTTTGGGGTTGTGTTTTTTCTTTTCTTTTTTTTTTTTTTTTTTTTTTTTTTTTTTAATTTGAAAGAAGGGATTTCTCTTCCAGATGGTGACTGTTGGGGTGTTTTGCCCGAGATGAGCCGGCTCGGTATTTTCTAATATATTTCTTTACTCTCTGTTTGAGCTCAGTTTGTAACAAGGTTGCAGAGGATTAATGACAGAGTGTAAGAGGGCAGAGTTATGCCTTCAGTTACAAATACACCCATGGAAAGTGTTACAGATGGGTTTAAGCAAGCATCTGACTTGCTGGACTCTAGAAATTGAGGAGTAATTTGTTAAAACACATGTTTTACATTTCTTTGTCTGACACAAAGAGGAAGACCTTGGGAGAGGACTTGGAGAGCGATGGACTAAAGACTGAGGATGCCAGGCTAGCATTGCTTTGGGGTGCTGCAGCGCAGGACCCGTGGGCAGTTCGGATAGCGATGCCGGCCAGGAATGTGGGGAATTGGGGGCCACTCTTGGAGCAGTTTCCCCAGCGCTGGTTGGGAGGACTCCTGGAGAGGGACGGCTCAAGCCTGTGCCCCTGGGACAGCGTCTATTTGGGGCAGAGGACGTTCGTTACAGAACATCCCGAATCCCGCGGCAGCCCCCGGCGCTTGTCCAAACCTGATAACTCTCAACTATGACAAGGTTCAGGCTTCGCCCTGGCTGGCTCCCTGACTGCAAAGTGGCCCTGGGGACGTGCCTCGGCCGTGGGGCCCCTGTGGTGGTGGTCAGGGGAATGGGCTTTTGTTGTGGCAGATTTGGGGGGCAGTATTAAACCTGGCCATAAATGGGGAGGAGTGCTGGAAGCAACGGGAAGAGCTGGACTACTCCAGAAGCTTAAAATCTGCATGGGGACAGGAATGGCTGAGCCCTGCCTGCCTAGAGGTGTTTCACAGTGGGTTTGCATGGGCCAAACAGAGCCAGAGCCATAGGGACGACCTGGAGCCACAGGGGCAACCCCACTGCAGGTGATGCCAGTGGTGTGCGGAAACCCCGCCGGCCGGTTCTGGGGGCTGGGAGCGCTGACAGCGGTGCGGTCGTGACGGGGGGCGCAGCTGGGGAGCGTGGCGACGGCGGGACAGCTTGGCACGTCCCCAGCCACGGCGCAGAGCCCCGGCCCCAGCCCCGGCTGGCAGGAGCAGATGGCCAGCACATCTCGGAGCAGGCCTGGCATGTGGGCGCCGGCAGTGGAGGGGCGGCTGCAGCCCCTGAGCCGCCACCGCCATGCCGGGCTCCCCGGCCGAGGGAGGCAGTTGTGTGATGCTCGCCCTGTCTTCGCACGGCTTGATGGCTCTGTGCTGTTGCCAGATTCTGTGCTGTCATCACAAAGCTCCCCTTGCTTGGCTCCGAAATCCCCTGCTCCCGGAGTCGTGGGGTTGCGTGGGTGCCTCCACCTCCTCCTTTGTGAAATAAAATGAGAAGTCGCATCCGGTTGCAAAGGAAAAAAAAAAAAATAAATCCTTCCACCCTCTGAATGTGAACACAAAAGAACATACATGCAGAGAAACCCATCAGTGTTGGGTTTTAAAATCACATCCGAGATCTTCATATGAAGGAATGAGCCTGAATCCCTGGCAGTGTGGTCCTGCCAGACTGCGGATGGATCCTCTGGCTTGGGGCAGTGCAGTCTCCTCTCACCCGCTGGAGGCTTCTCTGGCAGCTGCTGCTGTAGAGTAGAGAGAGGGAAGAGGTTTGGAGCATGGTGGCTGTTTATCTTGCTTAACGTGTGTAATGAATGTAATTGCGCAATTAGCTGCAAACCTTGGCGCTGCTTCCCCAGCCCGGAAGGGCTGTGAGGGGATAATCCCAAACGGATTGAATGAAGAAGGTGATGCTGAACACTTTAGCACAGCCTAGTCCCACCAGCTGGAGAGTTGCTGTGGTCTGATGGGTTTGTCCTGGTGATTTGCAGTCCTCTGCCTTCGCTCGCCTGGAGAAGTGGGACTTTTTGCGCTTTTTGTGACTGATGGGAGAGAATTGTCCCTCCAGGGAGCCACTGGTCAGCCCAGCTAGAGTGCAACAGTAGGTCCTTTTCCCTTCTTGTAGGGCAGCCTGTGGAGATGATGATGCTAACTTGGGTTTCTCCAGCTGACCAGGCACTGGGAACAGTCAGGCTGGTCTTGATGGGGTAACAGAGCACATGCCAGCTCTGTAGCACAAGGTTCCTCTTGCTGATCTTTCTTTTCCCATCCCTAAGTCTTTTCTTCTAGTGCTTTCCTTGCTTCTTGCCTGCTCTCCATCCCCACCTAGCACCTCATCTCCTGTAGCAAGCACCTCTCTGTCCTCGCCCACATCTCCTGGAGGAAGTGTACCAACTCTTTGTGGGCTGGGATGAGTGTGGCTGTGGGGCAGCTGAATCTGGCCTCGCCCCCACCGTGTTTGGTATGGCTGGGCTGGGACAGGCGCCGGTCCTTTGTTTTTTAAGTTGCCCTGTTGTGCCAGTGGGGGGTGGAAAAGCAGGGAAGTAGCAGGATGCAGCGATGAGAGCGGCATTACGGAGGCCGCTGTGGGATCCACTCTGGAAATGCCAGGCAAGCAAAATACGCCTTGCCTCTGTCTCCACCAACCCCTGTCCTCCTGCTCGTGGGGCTCCCCCTTTCCAAAGGGAGCGGAGAAGTGATTTGGCGTCTTGTCCCTTCTC